CCGCTCTGACCCCTGCTAGCTGCGCCAAACCCAGCTCGCTGCCGGCCCCTGCTCGCTACCAGCCCCAACTCGCCACCGGCTCTGTTTTCTCCTCTGCGTCGGCACCCTCGCCAGGCGTCTCCTCTACCGCACTCCACCGCACTCCACCACACTCCACCGCACACCACCTCACTCCACCGCTCTCTACCGCTCTCCACTGCACTCCACCGCACCCACCTCCTCTTTGCTCCTCCTCCTGCGTTCTACACCTGCTGAGCTGTGCGTGATGGCAGACGCCACTCTCCGCCTTGACGCAGAGGGACGTGCGGTGGACTTTGAGGCGTGGCTCGACGACCTGCGCCGCCAACTGAAGGGTCAGCGCCAGGATGGCCATCAATGTCGATGGTAAGCTTCCCTGCCCCCCCCCTCGCTTGCTGCCCTTGCTGACGCCCCCATGCTTGCTGAGCGTGAGGCTTTTGCAGCAGCTGAGCTGGCCCGCTCTGTCTGGGAGTTGTGTGTCGCCACTACGCTGCTAGCTATCAGTACGCTCTCCCATTGTCTGAGTGTCCCTGGAGATGCCGAAGGAGTACCTAGACGCTGTCATTGCTCGCTATTCCACTCCCTCCTCCGCCTCTGCTGGCTGTCTCCTCCTGCCCTTGCTCTTCCCTGACCTCGAGTTCTTCCCCACTGTCGCTGATCTTGCCACTCACGTGCACACTCTCGTGACTAGCTCCTCGTGTCCTAGCCACGCACCTTCCCGGCCACCTAGCCACTGCCCGTGACACCTTTCTTAGTCTCCACCCCGCTTACCTCACCCTTAGCGGCTTCGTCGCCAACCTGTCGGCGATAGAGACCCGCAAGCGCACTATCGCTCAGTCTAACGGTACTGTCACGGTTCCTATCTTCCAAGGCAGTGCTCCCTCCCAGTGCACTTACTATGACATTTCCGCTGCTGTCGCTGAGACTGTCCCTCTCGCTAAGACCGCCGCAGCGGCCTCGGTGCAGCCTCGTCAGGGTAGAGCCCCCCGTCACTCCAGAGGGGGGTATAAGGGAAGGAAGGGTGCTGGAGGTGACGGGGTGGCGGGGGAGGCGGGGGAGTTGGAGGCGGTGGGAGCACTCGGAGTGCAGACGAGGGGGTGGGGGCTGACACCCAAGAGCAGCAGCAGGAGCAGCAGGAGCAGCAGCAGCAGCAGTAGCAGCAGCCGAGGCACCAGCAACAGCCGCAGCAGCAGCAGCAGTGGGAGCCCCTGCCGCCGTGGTGGCCAGGCGGCTTCACTGATGGAGGCTGCGGAGGCGGCCCTCGCAGCTCGACGTCGGGTGGCGGCTCCAGATCGGTGAGTTGCACTGGTCCCCTTCGTGGCACTGTGTATAACCATCCCGGTCACACCGCCGCCCGCTCCTACCGCCGCCTCGACGACCTCTTCTGTCTCCGCTTCGGGCCTACGCCGGCCCTCCCGGATTGGCACAGCCTGGTACGTCGCCATGTGCCGGTCTTTGAGATGGAAATGGATCAGATCCACTCTTCTTTGTATGCCATGTATGCTGATAACTTTAGTGTTACAAAACCCTATTACCCTGTGTTGCCTAGCCTAGGTGTGTCTGCTGTGTGTAGTCAAGGCCCACCTGCTGCGTTAGGCGTAGGACCCCCTGACTTGTTTAGCCTTGGCTTCATGCTAGTGGGCCCCACCAGCTGACGTTACTATCGCGCTCTCCTTCACGCAAAACTCTGGTGCATCCGCCTGCTTGTTTTGTGATCACACCAATCTTACGTCACTTTCAACACCAGCAACAGTCTCCCTTGCCGACTCCTCTTCTAATCCGGTAGTTGCACGTAGCTCCACCACACTTCCCTGTCCGGCGGTTCCCTCAGGCTCTCTTACAGGTCTGCACATCCCCTCGTTCTCCAGGAACCTGGATGGTGTCGGCTGTCTTCAGGACCTCTGCGTTACCACCACATTCCCTGGACATGAGCGGTATGCAGTCTGTACTGAGGCTGCCATTGTAGCCCCCCTCACCATGTTCCCCCGGGACCCGGTGTTAGGCCTGTTCATGCTAAACATTGCGTCCTCCTTGGTGGCTGCGTCCCCCAAGGTGGCTACGTCTACTTCGGTTGCTGCGACTGGCTCGAGTTTTATACTCCTTCTCCACTCTGACCGTGGCGGTGAGTTCGCCTCCGGTCGGCTTGGCCTGTTCTAAAGTGCGGAGAGCATCCCCCAGTCGTACACACTGCCGGACTTCCCACAGCAGAATGGGGTCGCTGAGCGATGCATCGGTTTGGTTATGGAGGTGGATCGTACCTCCATGATTCATACTAGCGCACCCCATTTTCTGTGGCCATTCCCACCTCGCTACGCCGATCACTAGCTTAACATGTGGCCCCACTCTTCGCGCCGGCAGGTTTCACCGATCCTTCTCTAAACTACGTCCCCTGGTGACGCGTCTGCGTTTCACGTCTTGGGCTGCCTCTGGCATGGATAAGCTCAGAGCCCGCATTGTCCCTTGTGACTTTCTTGGTTTCCCCCTTGACGCGTCTCACTGGCACTTCTACCACCCGTCGTCTCATCGTTTCCTCCACTCGCATGACGTCACCTTCGACGAGTATGTCTTCTTCTACACCCGGTTCCCCCACCGAGGTCTCCCGGTTACCCCACCCCTGTTCCTTGTCCCCACCCCCCTGGTCACTCCCGCTCCCCGTCGCAGAAGCAGTCGCAGCAGCAGCAATCGCTGCTGCAGCAACAGCCGCCGCAGCAGTAGCGGTCAGTGGGCTATGGGGGTGTTGGCACTGGGGGTGCTTTCTCTGGAGGGGGTGCTACTTCTGGGGGTGCTGGTCCTGAAGGTGCTGTCGTGGCGAGTCTTGGAGGTAGCCGCGGAGCGGCTGGAGGTCCTGGTGTGAGCGCGGAGCAGCAGCAGCAGTGGTAGTAACAGTAGTCGCCGCCAAACCCTTTGCCTCCTTGGTCTTCCCTCCTGTCACAAGATAGAATGACTCGAGGAAAGGTTGCACTATTGATCAGTACAAGGCGCTTTTATACTTCCAGAGTACATCAGGTAACCAGGTTTATCCTATCCTAAGGGAATAGACCCTTCTAGAAGATAGAATCACCCTGCGAATAGCCATGCGAGGCTATTGGCTTTAAGGGATAATGGCAGGATTACGCCGGATAGCGCACCAATACATCCCAAGCCTTGTCCGTGATATAAAAAAAATAGCAGGATAAACCAAAGGTTAATGGAAAATGGAGAATAGGAAACCAAATGAGATGAGATAAAAAGAGAAATGATAGACAAAGGAAATAAGAAAAGGGACAAGTGGTGTAACGAGGTCGTACTCTCACACTTCCCCCCCTCAAAGCTGGGTGGTAGAAGTAACACCCTGCTTGACAAGGTAGTCATGCAGAGGACGACTGGCGTTACCCATGTCGGACTCAGGGACCCAGCTGTCCTCAGAAGGATCATAACCCTTCCAACGGATGAGAAGCTCCACGGTGCCATTCCGACGTCGACGGTGTGCAAGCACAGACTCGACCTCATACTCGGGTTCATTCTGGACGAGGACGGGTGGCGGCGGCGGCGGTTGGCGTCCGACGAAGATCGTGTTCGGATCTCGATAGGGCTTCAAAAGTTGGACATGGAAGGCGTTGTGAATCTTCCAGGTGGCTGGCACACGCAAGCGGAAGGTAACAGGAGTAACCTGCGCTTCGACGAGAAAAGGCCCGCAGAAGCGAGGTCGCAGTTTAGACGGGAGGTGGCTGATGTCCAGGTTGCGGGTGTCAAGAAGCACCTGGTCTCCCACTGTGATGGCGTGGTCGTTGCGATGGCGATCGGCCTGGCGCTTTTGTTGCTGCCGAAAGTCGAGGAGGCGCTTGTGGGTCCGATCCCAAAGCTGATGCATGGTTGTGATGAAATCATGTGCAGGTTGTAGTGTAGCGGATGTGGGCGGCTTTTGTGGTGTGAGTGGGTGGCGTCCGTAGCAGAGGAAGAACGGCGTCTGTCCAGTAGCGGCATGTGTAGCGTTGTTGTAAGCAAACTCCAGAACGGGCAGGTGCAGGTCCCATTTGGAGATCTCGTCCTTGCAGGCTGCTCGGAGGACGTCGTGATATTCTTCGAGTAGTAACTGGTGCAAAGGAGGGTAATTGGGTACCCAGATTTTTGTTGATCCTTTTCGGTACGCGATGTCACTGTCCCACTGTAGCAAATGTCGCTTTTCAGCCAAGGGGATTTCGGGGTCGATGGCGTACCCGTGTGTGAAGAGTCCCTTAAGTAGTGGATTCATCCCTTCAATCTGAATAGCGGCAACGTGCGCAGGCCGGCTAAGAGCGTCTGCTTTGTTTTTGTGGCCGGGCTTGTACACGATGTCGTAGTGGAAGTGTGTCTCGAGGAAGTCGATCCACCGGACCTGCCGCCTGGAAAGGTTGGGTTGTGTCTTCTAGTATTTCAGGCTGCAGTGGTCGGTATAGACTGTTGTTCTTCGTCCTTCGAGATAACATCTCCACGCTTTGAAGGCGATGACGATGGCAAGGGCCTCGTTGTCGTGTATCGGGTAGTTTAGTTCTGCTCCATGTAGTTTCTTGCTGTGGTAGGCGATTGGTTGCAGTCCATTCCCCTGGTCTTGCATTAAGACTGCTCCCACAGCCTGGTCGCTGGCGTCAGCTTCGATTACGTAGTTGCGTTCGGGATCTAGCAAGCTGAGTACCGAGGTGGCCGTGAGTGCTTGTTTCAGCTGCTCCACGGCTTCTTGGTGCTTCGATTCCCATTTGTAGGGCGTGTTCTTCTTCAGCAGATTCGTGAGTGGTGCTGCGAGTTTCACATACTGTGGCACGAACCTGTTGTAATAATTCGCGAAGCCTAGGAACTGTTGCAACTCCTTCACGTTCTCGGGTGTCTTCCACGTATGTACGGCTTCGATTTTCTTGGGGTCGACGTGAACTCCTTGAGCGCTCACCATGTGTCCTAGGAACTGGACCTTCTCAAGGGCGAATTCGCTCTTGGTCAGTTTGACGTAGAACCGTTCTCGTCGAAGAATTTCAAAGACGCGTCGCAGGTGTTCGACGTGCTACTTCATGTCGTGCGAGTAGATGAGGATGTCGTCCAGGTACACCACCACGCACTCGTCCAAAAGTGGTCGTAGAATGTGGTTCATTTCAGCTTGAAACGTTGCTGGTGCGTTGGGGAGTCCGAACTGCATTACCAAATACTCGTACGATCCGTACCGAGTTCGGAAAGCAGTTTTGTTGCTAGAGTTGTCCGTCATCCGTATCTGCCAGTATCCGGACGGCAGATCCAGTTTGGAAAATACCGTAGCTCCCCGAAGCTGGTCAAGCAGGTCATCGATTCGCGGTATCGGGTATTTATTCTTGATTGTCTGCTTGTTAAGAGCTCGGTAGTCGATGCACATGCGCAGGCTTCCGTCCGGTTTCGGTGTGAAGAGTACTGGGGCACCGTATGGCGAAGTGGATGGTCGGATGAGTCCTTTGGCTAGGAGATACTTGATCTGTTTTTTCATGTCGGTCAGCTCCGTAGGGCAGAGCCGATATGGTGCTCGGAAGGTCGGCTTCGAACCCGGTTCCTCCACGATCTCGTGTTGATGCGTTCGGTATGGCGGTAGCTCGTTCGGAAGATCGTCAGGAAGAATGTCTTGGAACTCCTTGAGTAAGTCCTTGATCTTTCCTGGAGGTTACGAGGCCTTTTCTCCGTCGTTCTCCACCTCTGTTGCTATCGCCACGAACCCGGTGTCGGTTCGCTTTACGTCCTTCTCGAATCGTGCGAGTGTCTCCACTAGGATATCTCCTGTATCATCCCAGTTGGGTAGCTGTACTCTCCGTCCATTGTTGTAGATGCTTGCGGTGCGGTTCACCCAGTTGATCTCGGGGTTGAATCTTTTCAGGAAGTCTCGCCAGAAGATCAAGTCCAGCCCTTTGATGTTGGTGATGGGGAGTGCAGGTCTCCAGCGCAGTGGCCCGATTTGTAGGTGTAGCACTGCTTCGCCGTACACTAGTAACTTGCTGCCGTCCACCATCGTTGCAGAGAATCCTGATGGCTTGTACTCTTCCTGAAGTCGGTCGATTACTGCCTTGTTGCAGACGGTGTGTGATGCTCCGCTGTCCACGAGTGCTTGGAGGCGTCATCCTTTGCAGATGACCTTGAGCACGAGGGGCAGGCGTTGCTCGGAGTACCCAAAGATAGTCTCATTGATAGGGTCATAGGGTACATCCCAATATTCCGTACACACCTTTGTGTTGCTATCTACTCCTGATTCTTTTGGAGTCCACAGCTGTCCCGAAATTCCTCCAAGGCACTAGTCCCTCGAGAATTACAAGTTTTCATTAAAGCATTTTTATACGATAACTTTAACAAATCCTTATAATTTCTTGGGTCTTCAAGGAGTTTCCCTGTCTCGGCAGAGTCCTTTTTCCCGGAGTTATATTTTTCCTCGGCGATTTTCTCTGGCAAAGACTGGTCGTGGGGTGGAGATTTTCCCCCATCATTTCCTCCTTCTCGCGTCGAATCAGCTTCGTCGAAGTTGATTTTCCTGGAATCCCGCGGCCGCTTCCGGATCTTTTTATTTTCACCAGCTAGATCCGCAATCACTGGCGACTCCCGTTTTTTTGCTTTTGATTGGCCGAAGGATTTTCGCCACGGTTGCGTGCCCGATACTCTGCGCGTGCGGTTTTCATTTTGTTGCAGTCGAAGATTCAATGACCCGGCACCCCGCAAAAATCACACGTGTAGTTGGTGTTTTTCGAATCTGTCGACTTCCATCGGGTCGGCGAACGTGGGGTGAGCCGAGCAGTCGCCCTGTCGCGTACTGCCGACGTGCGTCCGTCGTGTCCCGACGTTGACCATGTCGAAGCGCTCCGCGGCCGATACGACGTCACTGTAGCTCGCGTAGTTTGACGCTGCCACTTGTCGTTTGACTTTGGTCTTCAGCCCGGCGAGGTACGACTGTACTTTTTCCCCTTCGGTCAGGTCGGGAATACGGTTATAAAATTCCTCCATCTGCTGCGTGTACTGTGCTACACTCCTGAACTGTCGATGGCGATGAATTTTTTCCCGGACAAGGAAACTCGAATTTATCGGCTCGAATTGTTTCAGCAGGTCGGCGCGGAACTGCTGCCACGTGGCTTCACCGTGGATGAAGGTACTGTTGCCACCAATCCACTCGAGTGCCGGCCCTTGCATCAGTGTCGCCGCGAGTCGTACGCGTTGACCGTCCCAGCCTGGCAAGCTCCATCCGACGGCTGCGAAGTAGATCTCTATGCCGGCGATCCATCTGCGGACGTCGGAGTTTCGATCGCTCGGATCGAACGGCTCAGGTGGGCGCGGTTTCGGAGCCTCGAGAAACTGCTGCGACTGCTGCGTCGTCGCCGTTGTCGAGTCGTGCTACGCTCCGGCTAGTCGAGTTACTCGCTCGAACTCGTTTCGCCACGCTTCGCGATCCGCTCGCATTTCCTCCTGAACTGCTGCGATGCGCGCGAAGAGCTGCTGGGTAACCTCGGCGTTGTCGAGGTTCGCCATCCTGTTCAAAAACACGCGCGGAGGGGGTAAATCGAAAAAACGCGGAGCTGGTGCTTACCAGAATCGGCGTCGAATTGGTCGCCCCCGGCGGTTTTTCGAGGCAGGATCCCCGCTGCTGCTTAGTTGAGCGCGGCCGAGTGAGAAAAGCTCTGATTACCAAGTGTCACGAGATCGAATGTGTCGAGGAAAGGTTGCACTATCGATTAGTACAAGGCGCTTTTATACTTCCAGAGTACATCAGGTAACCAGGTTTATCCTATCCTAGGGGAATAGACCCTTCTAGAAGATAGAATCACCCTGCGTATAGCCACGCGAGGCTATTGGCTTTAAAGGATTACGGCAGGATTACGCCGGATAGCGCACCAGTACATCCCAAGCCTGGTCGGTGATATAATTATAATAGCAGGATAAACCAAAGGTTAATGGAAAATGGAGAATAGGAAACCAAATGAGATGAGATAAAAAGAGAAATGAAAATAGGAAAAAGGGACAAATGGTGTAACGGGGTCGTACTCTCACACCTCCCCTGACCGACCGCCCGCGCCTCCCCCAGCGCTGTGTCCTTCCCTTGTCTACGGATCAGTCTGCTCTCCGCCGGACTCGTCCCCGGCTCATTTCCGCCCTCGTTCTGCTCCTGTGTCTCCTCCTTTGTCTCCCGACCCTACGCCCCCCTCTCGCTGGTGGTCTCACCGTCCTTCTTGTGCTCGTCCCGCCTCTCCCACTCCGAGTGTCCACCCTATTTGTCTCGGTTACCCCGTCTCATGATCCTGCTGATCCTGTTATCCCATGGCGGCAGAGGAGCTCCGCTGGCTGATGTTCCTCCTCACTGGCTTAGGTGAGCGGCCTAGCTCTGCCCCGGTCCTGTATGCTGACAACAGGGTCATGATTTTCCTGTGTCAGGAGCCTCAACTGGAGGGCAGAGCGAAGCACATCCAGCTGCGGTACTTCCTCCTGCGCGAGCTACAGCAGTGCTGCCAGGCACGCGTATTACATTTCGCCTCCGGTGCCAACACAGCAGATATCTTTACCAAGGCGCTTGTGCCTAAAGATCATCAGCGACACTGCTGACAGCTTGGTCTCTCAAAGTAGAATTGTTGGCTAGAATGTCAGATACTGGATGATTTTGTCTAAGGGGTTGTACTCTCTAAGAGTACGCATCTATCTAGCCTATTGTAACATATACATATATGTTTGACACACCCCCTAGGCTAGATGAGGGGCAGTCTCAAGCAAGAGACACGCGGCTCAGGGTGGCACTGCTCGTCCAACCTCTGAGGCAAGGGTCTGAAGACCAGTCAGCAAGAGTACAAACTAAACAAGAGTAACCCAGGGCTGCACTACTAGTGTAGGCGAGCGGACGCAGGGGCAGCAGGCGCGAAGCCAACGGGCGTGGGGCTGTCGAACGCGGGGCCGACGGGCGCTTGGCTGGCGGGCGCAGGGCAACAGGCACGGGGTTGGCGAGCTCGGGGCCAACAGGTGCGTGGCTGGCGATCGCGGGGCCAGCGGGCGCTAGGCGACGGGCAGCTGAGGGCGGCTAGGGCTAGGACTACGGGCGGCTAGCGGCGGGCGGCTAGCGACGGGCGATTAGCGACGGGCGACTAGGGCTAGGACTAGGGCGGAAGCGCGGGTGGGCGGGGAGGACCTAACCTAGCGCGTGATACCATCTCAGAGTTAGAACATTGACTAGAATGAGAGATACAAGGTGCTTTTGTGCTAAGGGGTTGTACTCTCTAATTGTACGCACCTATCTAGCCTATAAGACATACATAGATGTTTTGACATTAATATCACAACCTCAGGTTGCGTAATAATGTCGCTGAAGTGTACCTGGTCCATGAATCTTGAACTGACAGGTTGGCCAACATTTCAGCCAAGTCAGCCCGTTGCCGTGAAATGGTCACAGAACAACGGCCGGAAATCCATACGCGGCTCGAGATTCCTTTGAGCTGCCGCTTCGGGGAGTTGATGGGTGGTCGAAAGCCGGTGGGCGTTTGGCGGGACGGGGCTGGTGTGCTGCGGGGCGAAGTGGCGCGGAATTCAAATTCGTCTCGCCCAGTCAGTTGTGATCCGCACGCCAGCTAATCCGGCCCTTTCAGGACTTCCTGATCTGCCATGATGCTCGCAAGCACCTCATCCGCACGCCAACTCGTAAAAGCCCACCAGGACTCATGGAAGACACCTCAATAGTCTATCGCGACACGGCGAGAACAGCATAAAGCGAGCAAGGCTGGGGTCTTTCTTCACGAGCACCAGGTCCAGCCCGTTGTAAAGGGAAGAAATCCCCTCTCAATGCAATCGCCTCGTAACACAACGGTCCAACAGCTTCCAGACTAACGAATTCTGGGTAAGGAAAAGTGCTACGACCCCCCCCACGTCTCACACTGTTGCCAAACTTCCGCCACACCCGCCATAGCAGACTTGCTCCACCCGTATCGCAAATTCCCAGAGCCCGCATCGCGCACGTGCGCGCGCCGCACACACCCGCCATGGCCACGGCGCTAGACGCTCGCGGAGCCACGGCTCGCCGCCTCGCGCTCCTGACCGCCGCACTCTCGTGCCTTCTCGCCCTCCCTCCACCCGCCTCCGCTGCGCTGTCGCGCTCTCGCGCGGTCGGTGAGTCCGCGCGCGAGCAACGCACCCGACAACTACCCGCGCAGCCTCAGGCAGCAGCGCAAGCGCAGGCACTCGGCTCCGGCTACCACCTTGAGCTGCTGCACCCGCATCGAGCGCGCGGCCCCTGGTCCTCCCGCTCCGCCTCCGCCCCGTTTCCCATCCGCACGCCTCAAGGGGCGCCCCCCCGGGGAGATGGCTGGGGGAACGAGCTGGGGGCGGCGAAGCCTGACCAGGGGATGGGCGCAGACTACGCGGGCACGGCGGGAAACAGAGGGGCGGTGGAACGCGAAAGGGCTGAAGAGAAAGTGGAGGAACGGGAGGATAGTGTGAGTGAGGAGGAGGAGCGTCGGGAGCTGAAGAGCAGCAGCAGCAGCAGGAAGAGCAGGGCTCCGTCGTCGTCGTCGTCGCGGGCGGCCAAGGACCTCATTCTGAGAGAAGCGGTGGCGCAGGCAAACAAGCACCTGGGCAGGTGAGTGAGCTGGGGGCGGTCGAACGGGCACGGCTGGACGTGGGTGGGGGCGGGAAGGGCGGTGGATCGGATCATCAATCATCGTGGCAACACTCTTGCTCGCTAGCCGCGTTCACCAATCTCTGTCGTCCCTTCCACCCTCTCCCCGCGCTACTCACGTGTGCTGAAACTCAAGCGTGCGCGTCTCCTTGTGCCGGCACTGGCCGCGTCCTTCCGCCCCACTCGCTCGCCTTCCTCCCCCTGGCCCGCGGCAGCACCGTGAAGGTCACTCTCACCACGCACGTGGCGGTATCGAGCGATCTCCCCGCACTCGAGTACGGAACGCGTCTCATGGTGGTCGGCAAATGCGGCAAGAAGAGCAGGTGAGCGAATGAGTGAGGGAGTGAGTGAGAGAGTGAGGGAGTGAGTGAGAGAGTGAGGGAGTGAGTGAGAGAGTGAGGGAGTGAGTGAATGAGAGAGTGAGGGAGCGAGTGAATGAGAGAGTGAGGGAGTAAGTGAGTGAGAGAGTGAGGGAGTAAGTGAGTGAGAGAGTGAGGGAGTAAGTGAGTGAGAGAGTGAGGGAGTAAGTGAGTGAGGGAGTAAGTGAGTGAGGGAGTGAGAGAGTGAGGGAGTAAGTGAGGGAGTGAGTGAGGGAGTGAGAGAGTGAGGGAGTAAGTGAGGGAGTGAGTGAGTGAGTGAGGGAGTGAGTGAGGGTTGCACGTCAATTGAGAGGCCCTGCTGGCGCATCAACCACCGCCACTCTCTCCCGCGTGTCCGCCTCCTCCCCCCGCAGGTGCGTGATCAGCGGCGGCGGCTTCCAGGGTTTCGAGTGTCGGAGCGGCGCGGCGCTGGTGTTGGAGGGGGTGGAGATGGCGGGGTTCGGGCGCGGCGCCGTGGTGGGGTCGTGCAGCGGCGTGGGCGTGGCGCCGTCGCTGCTGGTGCGCGATTGCGTCTTCCGCTGGAACAACAACACCCGCGGCGGCGCCATCCAGCAGTCGCTCGCCGCCATTCAGGTGCGCCACGCCGCGCGCGCGTGCCCGAGGAAGCACTGACCTTGTGCGCGCACTACACGAGCTCAGATACGGCGGGGGGGCCAACTGTTCGCCCTTGAACCTCCCTTGCTCACTTCAACTCGGCCTTCTGGCCGCCCTGCCCCTTTTCCCGCCATCTCGTCTCGCTCTCTCCCCCTCTCGCACCCGCGCCCGAGCGGGCTGTCCACCGGATGTGGGCGCCAATCTCCCCCCCGACTCTCCCCCCCCCGCAGATCTCCAGCACGCGCTTCCAGGACAACTGGGCGGTGCGCGACGGCGGCGCGGTGCAGCTGGAGGCGGGCGGGTCGCTGGCGGTGTTCAACTCCGTCTTCCTGGGGAACGTCGCCATGCGCGGGGGCGGGGGCGCGCTCGCGGGGCAGGTGGACGTGCTGCAGCGCACCGTGTTCCGCCGCAACCGCGCGCGCAGCAGGGGCGGCGCCGTGCTGTCGACGGGGGAGGGCGGACGTGCCGCCACCATCATGCGCTGCGTCTTCCGCGGTGGGTGCCGGGGGGGGGGGGAGGGGGAGTGACGGAGGGGCAGGAAGAGTCGGGGGCGGGCAGTAGGGGGAGCGGGAAGCGGGGCAATGGGAGTGGTGGGGGGGAGAGCGCGAGGTGCACATGTGAGGCGAGGCGGTAAGGTTAAATGAACACGTAGGTACGATTCACGTGGACACGCCACCTCTCCGCCATGTTTTTGCTCTACCCATGCTCTCCGCCTTGCCTCACCTGTGCCGGTATCCCTTCCTCCTGTCCCCCCCTCGTCCCCAACAGAGAACTCTGTCAAGTCGGGGGGCGGCGGGGCAGTGTACCTGGACGTCAGTGCCACGGGCGCGCTGTCTTCGTCGTCGTCGGCGGTGGCGGGCAACGGCGCGGGGTCGTTCGTGAACCGAGTGTGCCGCGCCAGCTTCTCGCGCAACCGCGCGCCCTCCAACTCCAGCACCGACGTGCTCCTCGCCACCGGCGCTGCCAGGCGCGCCGACCGCCGCAGCCGCACGGCGGGGACCGCGAGCGGGGCGGGGGCGGGAGGGGCAGAGAACCGGCTGCACGTGTGCACGCAGGACGTGAAGCCGCGCATCGGCATGCAGACGAGCAGAGCCTACGGTACGGCGGGCACACCCAGGTGGTCCCGCTGCTGAGCGCATGCTGGATGCCTTGCGCTCGGCTCTAGTGGCTTACACATGATTGAACCAGTATGCTTTGCCGCCACGCAATGCGCGGACGGCGCATGAGTGTGCTGTGCACGCTCCTCAAAGCACTCTCCCTTGCCTCCCTGCTCTGCTGTGCTTGTGGCTGGTGTGTGTGTGGCGTGCAGTGGTGAAGTCATGCACGGGTTGCACTGGGTGCTACAACGACTGCAGTGGCAGGGGCAAGTGCACATACGACAAGGTATGCGGCATGAGAGTCGAGAAACCGCATAACGAGTTACCATATGTGTGTAGATGATGGCGCACACCATCACTTTCCTAACCCTTGCCTACACCAGCTTGCTTGAGAGCATGGTTGTCATTCGCCATCTCATCTTCCCCCCACATTCTGCCACGCCTCTCCCTCACCAGGTGGACGGCACCCCCTCGTGCCGCTGCGCCTCCAACTACGACCCCGACACCTCCTGCTCGTCCTGCAAGCCCGGCTACAGCCCCGCCACCGCCTGCACCACCTGCATCGCCGGCTACATGCCCGTCGCCTCCACAGCCAAACCATCCACCACCAGCAGCGGCAGCAGGCGCACCAAGTGCCGGACGTGCCCCGCGCTGGTGGGCACGGCGGACCTGGCGGTGTACCCCATCATCGGCGGCACCATCACTGAGAACGCCGACGCCTGCGCCGCCCTCTGCGCGCACTCGCGCCGCGTGCCCTCGTACACGGGCGACACCCTGCCCTGCCAGAACTGGATCTGGCTGGGCCACCCTGAGAGTGTCGCGCAGGGCAAGGAGAAGCTGAGCGCGGAGCAGAGCCAGGAGGCAAGCAACTGCGCCGGCATGTGCTTGATGCGCTTCACAGAGGGGGCGTGCTCCAACGGCACAGTGACTGTGAAGAAACGGAATGGCACTCCAGTGTACTTTGGATCATTTGATGATGGGTCCTGTGGACCATGATGAGGGAGAGCCGAGTGAGCTTTGTAAATGATGACCCAGATAACCCCATAGCAGTGCCACCTCTGCACTTGCATTTGACTAGTAATGATTTACATGCCTTTTTGCTGAGTTTGTTGGCCTTCTTGATAAGCTTAGCTATCCTGGCACTCAGTACCCTTGGATAGATAGACGCCCCTAGGGGCATGTAGGGCGAAAAGCCTTTTTGGGTTGCGGAGCAACCTATTCCCATCGATCGGACGAGATTTTTGGGTTGCGGAGCAACCTATTACGATCGATCGGACGAGATTTGTTTTCAAGTTTAATTAACAAATTTGTGAAAAAATATATTATATTTGTTGGGCTGAGAAAAGCCCTTAGGATCTTTCCAGAGACTAAGTCCCAGTTGAAGAATGAGACTTGAGTAGTGCAGCGGAAGTTGAGTAGTTGAATCCTTGTACTAGTATATGAGAACAAGTGATTGATTAAAGAAACAAGCATACAGCAATAGATAGAAAATAGGAAAGTAAAGCAGTTGTAGAATACAGTTGCAGGAGCGGTTATCGAGTCGCACAGCGACTCGATTGTCGCTTCGGTTACCATTCGTGCAGTTGTAACGGTCAGTCGCAACCTCCAGTTGCGACCCTTCGAGTCCCTTTGCGTTCTTTGTCCACCCCCTCGTGTAACCTCCGTTGACTCGCGTACCCGTTGCGATCTTCCTCGAGTGTAGTGTTACACTTCAGAAACGCTTAAAGCCCAGATCCCAAGTTGCAAGGCGCGAGATTTTTTGCTAGCAATATCGAGGCGCAAAAAGGTTGGTAACCCCATGCACCCGGATGAAACTGAACAATGACGCGTTGGTTGTAAAAGAGGGCTCGTGATTGGTTGAAAAGGCAAGCAAACACCTTCGCCCAAGCAGCCCAACCCCTGGCTCTCTCTCAGCACAAACGGCTAAGGGAAAGTTGCTATCAATTTTTGTAAATTGGGACCCAGGCGAGACCGACCAGTGACTAGAAACTAGCCAGCATAAGAGGTTTCTCGCGCGCGTAGCCAAGCTCTAGACGAAACTTCGCGCCATAAGGAATGATAGCGATAGTGCCGCAGATCCCGTGACGACCGGCTAAGCAGTGCGAACCGCGCATAATTTATCCCGAGGGACGAAGTGACGCGGGAGCAGGGACGGAGAGACACGATAGCAGGGACTAAGATACGCGATAGCAGGGACGGAGAGACGCGATAGCAGGGACGGAGTGACGCGACAGAACCTAGTGGCTGAGGCGAAAGTAGGAAGGAAGCATCGAGGGCAGGGGAGGGAGGGCGGAGTGAGCGCGCGGGAGGAAGCGCGGAGTGAGCGCGGGAGGGAGAGCGGAGTTAGCTCGCGGGAGGGAGAGCGGAGTGAGCGCCGGAGGGAGAGCGCCGCGCGCGCGCGGGAGGGAGAGCGGAGTGAGCGCGCGGGAGGGAGAGCGGCGTGAGCGCGCGGGAGGGAGAGGGGCGTGAGCGCGCGGGAGGGAGAGCGGCGCCAGCGCGCGGGATGGAGGGCGGCGTCAGCGCGCGGGAAGAACGGCGTGGTCGCGCAGGAGGGAGAGCGGCGTGATCGCGCGGGAGGGAGAGCGGCGTGATCGCGCGGGAGGGAGCAGCGCGAGCGGGGGAGGGAGAGCAGGGGCAGCGGAAGGGGAAAGGGGAGAGGGGTGAGAGCAAGTGCAGTGGAGGGGGAGAGGAGTGCGAGCAGGGGAGGGAGGGAGGAGTGAGGGCAGGGGAGGGAGAGAGGGAGTGAGAGAAGGGGATGGGGAGAGGAGTGGCAGCAGGAGAGGGGAAGAGGAGTGAGAGCAGGGGAGGGAGGGAGGAGTGAGGGCAGGGGAGGGAGAGAGGGAGTGAGAGAAGGGGATGGGGAGAGGAGTGGCAGCAGGAGAGGGGAAGTGGAGTGAGGGCATGGGAAGGAAGGAGGAGTGAGGGCAGGGGAGGGAGAGAGGGAGTGAGAGAAGGGGATGGGGAGAGGAGTGGCAGCAGGAGAGGGGAAGTGGAGTGAGGGCATGGGAAGGAAGGAGGAGTGAGGGCAGGGGAGGGAGAGAGGGAGTGAGAGAAGGGGATGGGGAGAGGAGTGGCAGCAGGAGAGGGGAAGAGGAGTGAGAGCAGGGGAGGGAGGGAGGAGTGAGGGCAGGGGAGGGAGAGAGGGAGTGAGAGAAGGGGATGGGGAGAGGAGTGGCAGCAGGAGAGGGGAAGAGGAGTGAGGGCATGGGAAGGAAGGAGGAGTGAGGGCAGGGGAGGGAGAGAGGGAGTGAGAGAAGGGGATGGGGAGAGGAGTGGCAGCAGGAGAGGGGAAGAGGAGTGAGAGCAGGGGAGGGAGGGAGGAGTGAGGGCAGGGGAGGGAGAGAGGGAGTGAGAGAAGGGGATGGGGAGAGGAGTGGCAGCAGGAGAGGGGAAGAGGAGTGAGAGCAGGGGAGGGAAGGAGAGTGAGGGCAGGGAGGGAGAGAGGGAGTGAGAGAAGGGGATGGGGAGAGGAGTGGCAGCAGGAGAGGGGAAGAGGAGTGAGAGCAGGGGAGGGAGAGAGGGAGTGAGAGAAGGGGATGGGGAGAGGAGTGGCAGCAGGAGAGGGGAAGAGGAGTGAGAGCAGGGGAGGGAGGGAGGAGTGAGGGCAGGGGAGGGAGAGAGGGAGTGAGAGAAGGGGATGGGGAGAGGAGTGGCAGCAGGAGAGGGGAAGAGGAGTGAGGGCATGGGAAGGAAGGAGGAGTGAGGGCAGGGGAGGGAGAGAGGGAGTGAGAGAAGGGGATGGGGAGAGGAGTGGCAGCAGGAGAGGGGAAGAGGAGTGAGAGCAGGGGAGGGAGGGAGGAGTGAGGGCAGGGGAGGGAGAGAGGGAGTGAGATAAGGGGATGGGGAGAGGAGTGGCAGCAGGAGAGGGGAAGAGGAGTGAGAGCAGGGGAGGGAAGGAGGAGTGAGGGCAGGGGAGGGAGAGAGGGAGTGAGAGAAGGGGATGGGGAGAGGAGTGGCAGCAGGAGAGGGGAGGAGGAGTGAGAGCAGGGGAGGGAGAGAGGGAGTGAGAGAAGGGGATGGGGAGAGGAGTGGCAGCAGGAGAGGGGAAGAGGAGTGAGAGCAGGGGAGGGAGGGAGGAGTGAGGGCAGGGGAGGGAGAGAGGGAGTGAGAGAAGGGGATGGGGAGAGGAGTGGCAGCAGGAGAGGGGAAGAGGAGTGAGAGCAGGGGAGGGAGAGAGGGAGTGAGAGAAGGGGATGGGGAGAGGAGTGTATGCAGCAGGAGAGGGGAAGAGGAGTGAGGGCAGGGGAAGGAGAGAGGGAGTGAGGGCAGGGGAGGGAGAGAGGGAGTGAGAGAAGGGGATGGGGAGAGGAGTGGCAGCAGGAGAGGGGAAGAGGAGTGAGAGCAGGGGAGGGAGAGAGGGAGTGAGAGAAGGGGATGGGGAGAGGAGTGTATGCAGCAGGAGAGGGGAAGAGGAGTGAGGGCAGGGGAAGGAGAGAGGGAGTGAGGGCAGGGGAGGGAGAGAGGGAGTGAGAGAAGGGGATGGGGAGAGGAGTGGCAGCAGGAGAGGGGAAGTGGAGTGAGAGCAGGGGAGGGAGAGAGGGATTGAGAGCAGGGGAGAGAAGGGGATGGGGAGAGGAGAGAGGGCAGGGGAGGGGGAGAGGAGTGAGAGCAGGGGAGGGAGGGAGGAGTGAAGGCAGGGGAGGGAGAGAGGGAGTGTGAGCAGGGGCTGGGGAGAGGAGTGAGAACAGGGGAGTGGGAGAGGCGGTAGAGCAGGGGAGAGAGGAAAGTTGCAGGGGAGGGAGAGAGGAGAGCTGCAGGGGAGGGAGAGAGAGCTGTCGTTGGCATGCCAAACATCCTCGCTATCCCCCGAACCATTGCTTCCAAACCTCCACTCTGCCCAGAGTTCGCAAACACATCGTACTCCTTATCCCTGCCCATCCCCATCCCCCTCTCGCTGCCTGTCCAGCCCTCGGCGTGATACCAACCCAGGTCCCTTCATACGCCTTCTATGTGCCCACCCTCCCATGCCCCAACCCTCTCTTTACACCCATTCTCACCCTCTCCCCCCATCCCATACTCTCCGTCAATGCCCATCTCCCTACACACTTCTTCACCGTGCACATCCCCCCCTATCCCACGCTGCCCTTCCTCTGCAGTGAACAAAGACAAGAGCCTCCATGGAGATCGCCGTATGGGGCCGGTTTTAGTGGTTGGAGAGATATTATCGCTGATTTGCAACACTATAAATGCCTTTCTCAGATATGATATGATACATCAGGTAGCGATTTGAGAAGCCTCCCCTCCCCTAATCATGAATAATACTATTCAAAGTGCCCAAATGAAATATATGAGCGCAATCGAGTCCACCACATGCACAGCAGCAATACTGGGGTGGTGCAGAGTCATTAAACAATCTCCGTATCATCAACACTCCAGACATCCTTGTGAGCTCACAACTCCACCAACCCACCAATATATGGGTACTTCATCAACACCCTACTCGGCCACATCAATTCCGTGGTTGCTGCAGAAACCCAAGCGTGGGCGAAAGAGGGCGGGAGAGAATGCGACACGGGGGGGGAGAGAATGGGATAGACGGCGCGAGCATAGGAGTTTTGGAGAGGGCAAAGGAGATGAGGGGTGAGCATAGCATGTAGAAGGTGAGCACGGGAAATGAGAAGGGAGGATGCGAGAACACATATGGCAAAGTATGGAGGGGCCTTCCATAGGATAGAGAGGGAGAGATGTGGGGTGGGCAGAGAAGGGGGGAGAGGGATGGGCGGAGTTGAAGAGGTGGACAGAGAGGGGGAGGGGGGGGGGCAGAACAGTGGGGAGGGCAGTACAGTTGGAGGGCAGAACAGTGGGGAGGGCAACACAGTGGGAGGGGAGAACATTGGGGGGGACGGAACTGGGATGAGGGCAGAAAAATGGGGAGGCAAAAACTGTGGGGAGGGCAGAACAATACGGTGGGCAGAACAGTGGGGTGGGCAGAACAGTGGGGTGGGCAGAACAGTGGGGTGGGCGGAACACTGGAGTGGGCAGAACAGTGGGGAGGGCAGAATATTGGGGAGGAACGAACAATGGTGAGGCAGAACAGTAGGGAGGGAGGCGTGTAGA